TTCCTATCTAAATCTAAGTTCAATATACTTAAGAAGGGATCAATCCTTTCATTATTTTAGAGGTAAAAAGTCCACGTTGTGATCCAATAGAGCAGGGAATACAAAGTATCACTCTTCAAAATCTTATTTTCATCATCAATACAAATAACAACATTTAGTAAAATAACCCCCAGAATCGCAGAAGGTGCCATCTTTCCAGGTGCTATGTAATCATTAAATCAAGGTTTTCTCTAAATCAGGAAATCTTCTTACTGATTCTAGAAAGAAAATGCGATGGTAGTACAGATCTTGAGGAAACAGTCATGCGTTTACACGTGTTGCAGAGCATTATATCCCCTTACTTCAGTTAAGTTTTAATGTGAATTTAAAGTTAGTAAGTTTGTGGAGGGAATGAGAGGATATTATTTTCATAAATACTATATGGCCTCAGTTTAATCTTTTTTCTACCAGCTGTAGAAACAAAGCTAAATTATTAGAGAAGAGGCCAAGTAGAAATGAAACCAAGGGAAGAGTTGCAAAGGAACTCTAAGGTAAGTTTTTATTAGTGAATTCAGAGAACTGTTCACTCTTTCCAGTGCTAATTTAGAGTCAAAGGGCATCCTACAACAAAGCTAAGGTATTCTATAAGCAATGGAAATATCCTGTAAGAACAGTGTCAACCCCAGCCCCATCATACAGCCTCTTCCTCACCGGGAGCGCTGGCTGCTATTTTCACAGAACTTCTTAAAATTAAATAGCTAAAGACAAGGTCATTGTTCTCAGCAACGAAGACTGTCCGAAAGACTCAAAAAACAAGAAAAAGGAAGCAAGATTGACGGCATGTCCATGTAATCATACTCAAAACGTGCCCTTGAGAAGCAGAGAAGGGGAGTAGGTTATCAGTACATGGAATAAGGAACACTAACACTGTATCTGACAGCCCGTGCATGCTGCACCCAGGACAGGCCGCTTCTTCCAACATATGCTCGAGAGAAAAGGGGGTCCCCCCTTCATTTACATCACCTCTGGAGGGTCTTTGCAACAACTGAAAAGGCTAGAAATGTTTTACGACATAATCTTTGATTCAAAAACACAGCTTCCTTCTAACTTCCCAGCAAATTTTGCAAGTGTGAAATTGAACACATGACAACGATTGCAGCAACTATAGAAAAATACTGAAGAAACTATAGAAAAATACTGAAATGGGTCTTACTGAAAAACCAAACAAATACCCCCAAATTCAATCCTTTGAAATTTCCCATCATTACCACATAACTAAATTGACACCTGCAAGTATTTATCTGATGTTTTGCTTGGTCCTACCTGCACGGGAAGGACAACAAATTGGAGAATTGGTATAGGCATTGAGAAAGACAGTGCCGTATCTTTTCATAAAATTTATGAAAGGCAAATCCACAGTCTGATTTCCTGGATAAAATGTCAAGCGCCCATCCTGTAAACAAACAGAGGAAAAACTATGTAAACAGCATTATCCCAAACTAATCGCTGCATTAGTTCATAAATTTATTACCTTGAACATGTATTACTCAAATGTTGCCAGTTCTACTCAGGTATGGAAAAAAAGTGTTGAGAAACCTTAATTACATCAATATAAAATAGTCTACTTATCAAAAAGTGTAATGTTAAAGATAACTGGACTTTTTTAAACGAAAATTACTTCCCTTCTGTCGGCGTACATATTCTAAGCTCCAATTCTTGCAAGAGAAATCTTGCATGACACTTCCAACATGGACAGATATGGTGAAAAATGAAACAGAGTCAGTCTGGATCCTGATGTGGATGCGTGCACTAGTACATGTTTCTCAGAACTCATCCTTTTCCTCTTTTTCAAAGTTTATCCACAGCACATCTCTGTGAAATTAAACTCTGGGCTGGAAAAGTGATCAGCACGCTGAAGGAAGCCTATTCTCCCGCTGAAATGCTGTCTGCAAGGGTTCCCTTTTGATACTTCATTGATGTTTTATTTTACCTATTTCTTTAGCTAGAGTTTTTAACCAGTACCTTTTAAAAGACCCAAAATTTTGAATTGGTACTTTTACTGTACATTATGGTGATATGAAACCAGGTTTCTCCAGTGACAAATTCACCAGCTACTGGTTCATTTCTTCCAAAGACAATGCACAGATTACCACATCAGCCCCTGCATAATGAATGCCAGCATGCAAATTCTTACCTCTAATACCTCACCACACATAGGCAATGGACCCCCCCTAACAGGTTACTTTAAATTATTTTAAAATGAGAGTAAATCTTATATGAGAAACCACAGCAAAGAAGCTGGTGTGTAATTGCTTGTAACCCTGCAGTAACTTCTGGCCTGTATCAGGACCAGCGTGGCCAGCAGGAGCAGGGCAGTGATGGTGCCTCTGGACTGGGCACTGGTGAGGCCTCACCTCGAGGGCTGTGTCCAGTTCTGGGCCCCTCAACACAAGAAGGACTTTGAGGTGCTGGAGCGTGTCCAGAGGAGAGCCACCAAGCTGGTGAGGGGTCTGGAGAACAAGTCATACGAGAAGAGGCTGAGGGAACTGGGCATGTTTAGTTTGGAGAAGAGGAGGCTGAGGGGAGACCTCCTTGCCCTCTACAGCTCCCTGAAAGGAGGGTGTAGAGAGGTGGGTGTTGGCCTCTTCTCCCAAGGGAATCATGACAGGAGCAGAGGAAATGGTCTGAAGCTGGGACAGGAGAGGTTTAGATTAGATCTGAGGAAGAATGACTTTCCTGAGAGGGTGGTCAGGCACTGGAATGGCCTGCCAGGGAGGGGCAACACTTTCTGTCTGAAGGACTCTATCTGGGAAGTCAATCCCTTCTACCCCCTAGCTAGAATTTCCAACTTTGGCATTCTAGAAGTACCTCACCCAGGTTCTGTTGCGGCAAGGAATCTCTCAAGCTGGAGAAATAATCTTGAGAGGCGTCTAACTCCTGGCAGCCCGCTGCTGCGAACGAGAGCTCAAGGGGCTCTTGGGCTGTTGACTAGTTCTGGGGGTAAGATGATTGACCTCTAGTCATATTGGCATTGACCGCAGGACCAGCATTGCTCAACTCTGTTCTTGGCTGGTGTGTTGTTATCTGGCTCCCGCAAAGCACCTTGGAGCCCCAGATGCCGCCCTCATGACAAGGTGCCCCCCTTGGGACCACCTCGGGTGGTTATCGCTTGGGCAGGGAGATTCTTTTGTGCCCATTTCCTCTTGTCCTGTCA